GCTCCGGCGGGCTCTCTCTCTGTCTTCGCTCTCGCCTCCCTTTCCCCTCTATCGAGCTCGCCGCTCGCTCTCTCGCTCTCTCTCTCGTCTCTCTCTCTCTCTCTCTCTCTCTCTCTCTCTCTCTCTCTCTGTCTCCCTGTCCCTGCCCCTGCCCTGCCCCTGTCCCTGCCCCTGCCCCTGTCCCTGTCCCTGCCCCTGCCCCTGCCCGGCCCTAGCCACCTGCCCCTGTCCCTGCCCCTGTCCCTGTCCCTGTCCCTGTCCCTGTCTGCCTGCCTGTCTGTCTCTCCCCTCTCTCTCCCCCTCTCTCTCCCCTCTCTCTCTCCCTCCTCTCTCCCCTCTCTCTCTCTCTCTCTTCTCTCTCTTCTCTCTCTCTCTCTCTCTCTTCTCTCTCTCTCTCTCGTCTCGTCTCTCTCTCTCTCTCTCTCTCTCTCTCTCTCTCTCTCTTTCTCTCTTTCTCTCTTTCTCTTTCTCTCTTTCTCTCTGTCTTGTTTCTAATTGTCATTAAGGTTGATATTGACATTTTTATTATTTGCTCAAGTTATATGTATTTGGCTTTCTATTTCATCCCATCATTTCCTTCTCTCCTTTTTTCTCTCACATAAATCATAATTCATGTTGCTGCCATATTTATTTTAGACATGTTTAATTCTTTTGTAGTTTTGTAATTTGATTTAAACATAAATACCCAAAAATGTTGTAGACCTTTCTCCAGTTGTAACAGTGATGTCATGTTGTACATGTATAACATGCAGTGTATTTCTTTGCAAGTTTGACATAATGACAGTTTAACTTTAAGTGTAATTATAATCTGTAAATGATTAGAGTAGTCTGTCTACATGGCTCTTGAAAAGCTATTAAATTACTGATGTCTTGCTGAAGCTGTAGTGTAAATCTTAATACTTCTTAACATTTTTCTTGTCATTTTACATATTTATTTGAGTGAGCTCAAAAGATGTATTTTCTGGCTAACATTTTAAACTGATTTGCAAGTTAATAATAGTTTTATGTACTGGCTTTCTTTTGATTTTTTTTATATTGGGCATCAGATTACTGTCATAGCTGGTATACAAAATTGCCTGCTTTCATGCACAGGAATATTAGAAGGCTTACAGAAAGGAAATGGGGAGAAGAGCAGTTAGTTCAAGGGCCCATTGCTTGTTGTGGTCTTTTTTTTTCAGCTGAGAGCAGTCTGTATGTATAATAGAGTAGCGTAGACTTCTCTTCTTCCCTCCTTCCATGTAAGGTTGGTGATCCAAGTGGGGGTGATGAATGCTCGCCGGACGGTTTACTTGTGTGTTTTTTTTTTGTTTTTTTTGCAAGTCAACCCTTTGCATTAGTTTTTTGAGTTTGCATTTTTTTGTGGAAAAGACTTTGCTTGCAGTATGTGCCATTGTTGCAGTTTTCCTGCTTTTGTTATTAGTGATTGAATTGTATTTCCTTGTCAATGGAAAACATTAGACAGTGTTTTTAGCAGAACAAAAAAAAGTGCTTCACACTTTCATACTTGATTGCTTTTGTTGGTTTACAATAAGCACTGTCTTTGGCTTCCATTATGCTCCTCCATTTTCTGTTATTGTGATACTGCATTTTTCTGATAATATACATGCCCACATTCTCTTTCAGTGGTTTCAAAGATTTTCTGACCAACTTTTGGTGAACCTTAAACCTTGCACTTGTGTATTCTTCTGGTTCCTTGTGATTAGGCCTGCATCAAACAACCCAGGAAGTTGTGTGTTGACCCATCCTTATAGCTGCAATTTGATTACAGCAGTGTATTGGTCAAGTGTGTATTTGATCCTGATTTTCCTCTGTGTAATGTCCCTTCCAGCAGAAGTCATGAAAGCACAGGTCCAGTACACAGTGAAACTACTGCTGAACTGCCCATATTTTTCCATATTTCCAGTCCGCATAGGGGGAAAACCCCGCAAACAAAATAGAGCCATGGCTCTTCTAAGAAAAGGCCTCGAAATGGTATGCCGAAGAGGAGCTAAAGACAAATAAGAATCTATTCTACAACACTAATGGACAAGATCTTTGGGATGTTATGGTAGTATTTACAAGGTATAGTGAAGCCTGCAAGTGAAGAAACAACTAGAGCATATAATATAAGCCTGTCTGGCTTATATTACTATTATATTTAATATAAATCTAACTAAAAGCATTGCTTTATTTTGTAGTTTATGAATTTGGATGTTGCTTTCCTATTCTTTTTGGGCAGCAGCACTATTTCTTCTAACGTGTGGGAATAACCAATGGGTTGTCGTTGGTGTTGAGTAGAATAGGTTCTTTTTTTTTTCTTCTTTTTCTTTTCTTTTATTTTATTTTACTTTTTAATATAACTTGGGAAGCATCAGTAATTTTTCTTCTCTATCCATTCCTTTCTTCTTTTATGTGCACTGGCAGTCCGCGTTGGTGTCAAAGTGCGCAGAATCACAAGGAAGACCTCAGAAGGTGCTAGCCTTAGCTTCGTCCTGCCTGCTAATTCCCCACCAGCATCCCCTCAGCCTCCATCACCAATTCCAGAGGAGGAGGTTGAGACCACAGCTCTAAATGGGGAGGGGCGTTTGATGGAGGACATTCAAAATGAAATGGCCTTTGAGGAGGATGAGGACTTTGGGGATAAAGAGGAGTGAAGGTGACTATAGGCAATTAGAGGAGGAGGAGGAGTTAGAGCAGCTACCTGATGTTGCCAGCTATGTCACACATCCTTCACTCTAGAAAAGCTAAGCATGGTCAAACTTTGTTAGGTTCCTTATATATAGCAAAATTAAAATGGTCAGACATCAGTATGCTTGCTACGTATGTCACTTATGTGGATATTGTTTAAGGGGTTCACATATAGTCTGCTATTCATGTTACAATTGTATTTTATCATGTAGCCTGTAAAAAGTGTAATGATGAAATGAAACTGGAAATAAGTCTTCTTACAAGTTTTCGGCAATTCTTTATACAATAAAAGTTTCTGAAAAGTATATGTGAATATTGCAATTGACATGATTAAAAGGCACAGTGTTTTAAGACAAAGAATAAACAACTTAAATTTATGCAAATTATATGTTTGACCATGATTAGCCTTGACAATGTAGAAGTGTATGAAGAAACCATTTGCCCATTAGAAAATAGGATAAGCAGGATGAGACAGAGCAAGTTATGTTCCAGTCCCAAACATCAGTAAATCACCTACCTAGTATAACAAAGTAGAAAGTTAACACTATAGTTGATGGCAGTGATAGTTTGGATTATAGTACTGTAGTTAACATGAAGATGAAAGTTTGATCACTTTAGAAAGTATTTAATCTAACTTCTCTTGTATGAAAGAATGATTGAATACTATTCTATTACATATGAATCATTAATGGCTGTTGAAAACAAGCTTGGACAACCATTCTATTTGTTTTGAGAGAGACTGCAATACCTCAGCTTCAAACTGAAATTCCAACACATATCCCATTACTGCCCTTACTTTACATTTCATAAGTCCTTTTAAATCTTTTTTTTCCCCCCCAAGTACTGATTTCCCACTTTGCTATCCTTGTCTTCAAGATGATTTAAAATAATTTGTCTTTATATCTATTGCTTATCATCAGAGAACTTGCTTGCTATGCTGGTGAGTCTTAGTATTTGATATTCATATGCATAATGTTTCTGCCATCAGTTTATATCTGGGCTCCTGTGTTGTATCTTTGGTATGACATCATTGTATCTGGCTTATCACTTTTATAGTGGGTGATAGGTGGAATTTTTCCAATATGTGGGTACATTTACATGTTGAGTGAACACAACTTGAAGTAAATGTTTGTCTTGGGATTGAGTTTAAAGTCCATTGGCGAATTAATGCAGACTGTCAAGTGTTGCTGCAGGGAGGTCCTCCTCTTCTGCCCCTCCATTCCAGTGTCAATCAGGGAAGGATCTGGTTACACGTGCATGAACTTCGAGATGTGAGTGCTGCCAGCATGATTCCTTCCTCAGAGTGATGGCCAAGCAGTGACGAAAGGGAAAACTAGGATGGTTATTCCTTAATAAAAGTAGAAAGGAGGAAATGTGAATTAATGTGCTTGCTTTGCATTTGCAAGTTTTTAACCCAATGTTGCTGGGAAAATGATGTTCTCATTCCAGAATTTTTTGCGAGATGTTTCTGCACATAGATGTCTCTGCTAGTGCATAACCACAAAGGAGTCAATTAGTAGACTATGTGACCTTAATGAATTCACTTTTCCTTTAATTTGATTGAAAAACATTTTTTTTCCCTAATGCTAGCAGTATTGATGGTGTTATTTTTATTATATACATTATAATCACTATAATGTTATTGACATTAGTAGTGGCAGTATAAGATAATGTAAAATATTTTCAAGAATCAAGGAAAAAAGTAAACATTTGAGACAAGCAGTAGTCATAATTGGCTCATTGGTGACTTAGTATAAGTAGAGCCATCTATGTGTAAAAACAATGAATAAAGTAAACTCAAAGTAGGCATGGCATGTACATACATGTACATACATGCCATGCCCGTCGGCTTCTAGGTAATTTAGATTTGAAAATGATTTTCATTTTTCCTTCTATCTTCTTATTTATGGAGCCATCTGATGAGCTGATTCATACTCTGAGTATTATGCACTAATATCATTAACCCAATCCCGACGGGGAAAATGAATAAAAAATGGGGAAAATGCTGTGCATATTTTTATATTTTTGTGAAATGTCTCTGCACATAGATGGCTCTGCTAGTGCTTAGCCACGAAGGAGTCACTTAGTAGACCTTGTGACCTTACCTGATTTCACCTTTCCTTCAATTGGCAGAAGAAACATATTTTTTACCAGTGCTAGGAATATTGTTGGTGTTATTTTTATTATAAACATTATAATTACCATAATGTTATAAACATTAGTAGCAGCAAAATAAGATAACATAAAATATTTTCATAAATCAAGGTAAAGGTTAAACGGGTGAGACAGGCAGTACTCGTAATTGGCTCATTGGTGACTCAATACAAGTGTAA